CATCATTGCTTACAATAGGATTGTCTACTTCATATTCATATTTTGTATTTTTTCATTGTTTGAAGCATAAACTAATTTTTCTTGCTACATATATGGTTCATATGTGAGGGTAAAAAATAGATTGTTGAATAAATCACTCAATATTCATTGGATCATCTTGAAACCATCACCAAAATACTTGTCATCATTTCTTACCATAGGATTGTTTACTTCATATTCTTATTTTGTATTTTTCCAGTTTTTAAAACATAAACTAATTTTTCGTGCTACTTATATGGTTCATATGTGAGTGTAAAAAACAGATTGATGAATAACTCACTCAATATTCTTCGGATCATCTTGGAACTTACACCAAATGATTTGTCATAATTTCTTACAATAGGATTGTCTACTTCATATTCATTTTATCTATTTTTCCAGTGTTTGAAAACATATTATTGAAACATATTTGGCTCATATTTTAATGGAAATAAACGATTGCTAAATGATTCTCTCAATATTCATCGGATATTCTTGGAAGTTACACCAAAAGATTTTTCATCATTTATTGTTCATTTCATCATTTGTCATATGTGATATTTTACTTTTTTAGTGATATACGAGATAGTTGAAACGTTTCGTTTTCAAATAGTCTTTGAATGTTTAAAAACTAAGATGTTTCAAAAAATGTTTGGATAGATAATAGGTGTTGTTATATTTTATTTCGATTGATAATATGCTGTATGCTCATAGGTTATGGTTAACAACAAAAAATGGATAATATTGAAGGCGAATATTCCTAATATTTTGTGAGCTGGATGTGATTTGTATGAACTTCATATTCTGTGTGACTATTCGTGTTGAATGAAGGGAATCGAAGTGTTCAGTGACCTTCACAGCCAATAATTCGAACGTCAAAAATCAAGAAAAAAATATCTCTGTAAGTATTCATTATAAAACAACATATTTTATGTTGTTAAAATTATTTTTTAATTTTAGGATGATTGATTTTATACATACAAATATCAGATCAAGGTGCTTTTGATGTACATTTAAGTCTTAGATAAATGTTTGTCTGTACTTAGTTAATTAATATTGAGTGAACTTTACATTTTATTTATTTAAAAATGGTTTATAAGTATTAAACTTTTTTTTATTATAAACTTGTCTTTTATTTATAATGGGTTTTTGTTAGATTGATTATAGAACATTTCATATTACCTGAATCATCATGGAACTAAAACCAAATATTTTTCTTGTTCTACATAGTCTTGAAATGTTTACATATAGTTCAATATTTTTCTGCAGCGGTTTTTAAAGTCTAGAAACCTTTTTTAATGCAATATATGCAACACAATGTCACATTTTTAAAACTGAAAAATGAAGAATGCGCTCAATATTTATTAGACCAAATATTTGTCATCACTTCTTACATAAGGATTATCTGCTTCATGTACATTTTATGTTTTTTCCAGTGTTTGAAAATTAAACCAATTTTTCTTGCAACATAAATAGCTCTTATGTGTGCGTAAAAACTGATTTTTGAAAAACTCTCAATATTCATTCGATCATATTGAAACCTATACCAATAGGTTTTTATCACTTCTTACTCTAGAATGGTTTACTTAATGTTCGCTTTGTTCATTTTATTCTGAAATTATTGCTAATATTTATATCAGTCAATAGTGATTATTATATGATCATTTGCAAATATGAGTTTTTTATAGCCCTTATGTTTATGACATAAAATATTGATTTTTTAGTAAATAAAATGTAATTTATTTATTAAATTTTTACTAAGGAAAGTTTATGTTTATTAGCAGAGTTAAGATTTATATCATATCTAAATGCAGAACTTGATATTTAGTTTTAATGTAATTCTTAATCTGATAGTTATTGTCTCTGAGTTGTGAAGTCAGAACTTGATAAATAGAACCTTATTAATGCAATGAAACTTAGGTACAGGCACATGTACAGACTTCACACACGCAAAACCTTTCAGGTCCTTTTGCAGATCATCAATATGCCTGGTACATAACATTAAGTATCATTCCTGAACAAACATGCATGCAAGTGCCAACAGTTTTTCTTTCGATAATACATTTTTCCCATTGCGGATGGTATTATCATAGGACACTTACTATACTAACTCATACGGTTAAATATATTATGTTCATTTGATTTTTGTGACCATAGATGTTTGGTCCTTTAGCCAATGTGTCACTGAATATCGAATCAATAACATTTCCTTACACGTCACATCAATTTTACGAACATCCTAGCTGGGTCTACATCAATAATATCTCATACTTGTATAGGCTTCAGGATTACCTTAGCGTGTCATTTGATTACTGCGGGAAAAGTGTCGCCATCTCGTAGCTGAAGTTGTGATACCAAAGCTAATGGAACTTTTTTTTTTGTATTAAAAATTACAACAATATTATCTTATAATTTCATGACATAATGAGAGTTTAGAAAATAGAGTACCTAAATTTTATTGGATATAAGTTGTTGTTGAGAAAGCTCAAACAAACGTAAAACTTGGTTTGAATCTTTGATGTTTATGAAATGATATTGTCCATTTCAATCATAGATTTTTATACTTTCTAAATAGAAATTTTTGAATGAATCAGTTTAGAGGATTGTGAATAATGAAATATAATATAGTAGAATATTATATTTATTACAAAGGTGGTCAAGTTAATGAAAATAATTAAATTAATCTACAAGAACGCAAGATTAATAAGTTAGAAGTTAACCGTTTACAAACTATAAAAAAAACTTGATATGTTAAAATTTAATATGGAAAAAAATATTAACTTAACTCAATTTAAAAAAAGTTAATTTATTTTTTTAATTAGTATGTAAATAACATAACGAGTAAATGCGTCTTTCTATTAATTAAATTATAAAAAACAATTTTATTGAACTTTTATCATAATGTACATTGTACAGTATAATAGTGTAAATACCCTTTTACTTTATATTTTACTTTATATGTATATATTATTTACTTATTTAAACAAACTATACACATCTCAAATTAATAATTTAATAAATATTATTTATTTTTTTTATATATAATATAGATTTTATTGAATGCCTATAACATTAAAAAAAAATACAATTTATAATTTAATTAAAATAATTCTAATATCAACTGCAAAATGCTAAGTTATTAATTGTCAATTAAACTACTTAAGATCATAAGATGATAAAAAAAAGTTCAAAAAATAAACTAATTAGTTAAATTTAAAAGTTTAAAAAAAAATTAACTTTTTAACTAGTTAATGCCCATCTTTAATTATACATGTAATCATAAAGTATTATTCTATAATATATATTTTTGGGTTAGACCAAGACTACTGACAAGTTATAATTCAAGTGGTGAAGGTATTGTTCTGTGGTATAGTTAGACTAAAATATAATCCATATTTAGCCATCTAGTTATTTTATTGTAAAAATTGTAATGTTATTCGACTTTGATATTTCAAATACTGAAATACATATCAATATCAATACATATTATGAAATGAACTCACTTTTTTTTTATCTGGATAAACTCCAAAATAGTTGAATGGATTTTGATACGGTTTTCTCTGATAGATAGGAAATTAACCAAGGAAGGTAGTTTATGTATTATGTGTATAATTTATTTGTATAATCTTGGAAAAAGATTTTGAATAAGCATTTTATGATTATATGGTTTTAAACGCGTTCCTATGGAGTTAATTTACTATTAATTTGATTCGTATTTCTTTAGAAAATCATAAATTATTACATGAATATGATAATTCTTATTTTAAATTAATTAATGCGTTGCATATGGATGTACAAATATGGATTATATCGTTAGAAATATATCTAAAAAGATTGACTGCCAACACTGTCAACATGTAGTATGGTATATTATCCCCATTCAAAATTAGTAGATGTTAAAAACAGAGAAGGATTAATAAAACGTCCAAAAAATGTAATAGTGATTGTTAAATTTATTAAAAGAACATTAATTCAGTTAACAACAAATTTGTATTCATTATTACCAGGGTTAAGTCAAAAAGTTATTCTTGCAGTTAAAAATCATGTATATAATTATAATATTTTTAATAATTTAAATTGTAAAAACGACAGTTTCTTAGAAAACAATAAGTTAAATTTGATAACTTTGATTTGCAAGCACTATTTGAAAGTTTGTCTTCATTATGTTGCCAAGTTGAAAACAAGCGCAGACGTTATAGTAAACGTCGTTTATTGATCAAATAAATATTATTTAATCATCAATAATGTTATGTTATATTGTGTTATAGTTTTTTAAATTAATTTAAAACTATAAACTGTGATTTTTTCATACATATTTAATCTTTATACCCATGCCATCAAATACTTTGTAATATCTTTATACTTTTGAGGGCGTTTTTTAAAGACCTCAAATACATACAATTTTGGATTAGATTTACAATTTTAAGTCACAAATTTGTAAATCATGTAAAAATGTTTCGAATTTTTATAGTATATTGTACTCGTTCCCATACTAAATTCGAATTTGAATTAAACGTGTTATTATTAGAATTATTATATTTGGGCAGAGATAGTGATGTAAAAGTGATGAATTGTATAAACTCATTTTCAAAACCGTCTGGGATATCTATAGGGTCATTTTTACATAAGTTTTTCATTCTGTCTTCAATATCTTCGGGTTTCATTTCAATCAGGCCACTAATCACATCATAATGGTAAATTAATAAAATGCTTAGTATCTATTGAGTATTTTTAGAAATATTAATGAGAATTGTGATAAATGAAAATTAAATAATTGATATAATACTAACATGATCACAACTAATTTGAAAAGCATAATATTACATATACTATATAATTTGTCATAAAATCATAACTATGAAAACAAATATTTTTATTTTGTACTGTAAGCAATTGCTTATTTTGCCTGACAAAAAACTTTCAGTTTTGAATAAGAAGAAAAAATGGATAACATAGTTTTTAAGATAACATGTTTATCATTAATAATACGAAAAATAAATTATCACTAGAGCAAGGACATCCATGCATTCGCATATTTTTTCTGGTTTAATTTTTCGTATGCAGAGTAATCGTTCATTAGACGAAAATAATATAATCAAGTACTTGAACAAAAAAATGCAGTTATTTAAACAATTTAAAAAAATACATATATTGAGATGAAATTATTTTTTCTTGATAAATTAAAATAATTAATTAATACAATATTTTTACACTTTTATAAGTTTTTATTGCACACATATATTCAGGAGCATAGTTACATACATATTCAATTGTCTTTAATTGCATGCGTTTACAAAGCCATGATAATAAACTATTGACAGTAAATAATTGTAAATAGCCAAAATCATATTTATTGAAGCTTTTGACTTCTAAATTTTAATAAAAAAAATAGCTTTAAGTATTATAATATAGGTATTTATTAATTTTAATAGAACTATCCACCAAGAGACATTAGTTTTTTAATAGGTATTCAACTATACAAACATCTTAAATCTTAATATTTATATAAATATTAGTATATTTTTGCCATTCTTCATCCATCATTTTATACATTTCAACTATTGGATTAATTAACAAAAAGTTAATTAAAATTTTCTACCACTTTTCAGCATTAAATGCATAGGTATTAAGGAAAGCATTAAATTTATTTATGAACCCAGTGAAGGCAAAAAAATAAAAATATTTTATTAAATTTGAGAGAATAAAAAGGACAGTCATTGGCATTTTCAATATCAAGAACTTTCAAATCTATCTTAGAGCATCCATAAGTTTTTTTAGCATATTTTATCATTTATATTGATTTATCAACACCGACCTAAAAAATCAACAGTAAATACTAATTATTTATAAAAAAAAAATATTTTAAGCAATTTAAACATACTAAATATTTGATTTTATTTCTT